TTTTCCCCCCCAACCTGGCATCTATGGGAACAGGTGACAGGGGAGACAGGTTCAAAGTAGAAAAGCAGCATGTAAGAAATGAGTGAAGTCTGTGGGCATTCAAGAGGAAACAAATGATGTCAGAGGAGTCATGACATCATCACGCAATGCCCACTCCATCACAAACTTATCAATCCCACAGCAGGCCTTTTGGTCCCTAAATCTGGCAACCATGACTTTTGAAGAACTGGTGTTGGGGGCGGGTGTGTGTGTGTAATGGAATGTGAGGGTGGCCTTGGAAGATGGGGGGGGGAGAGATGCCACCCAGGGAACAATCAGATGAAAGGAAAAGGAGCTCACAACAGGGTAATGGCCAGAGAAAGAAACTTAGGAAGGACCCACCCTAACTACTCAGGTGGTAAATAGGGGAGAGTTCTGTGCGTTCAGACTTGGTTACAATGAAGTAGAATTAGCTCATCTGGTCGTGTTTCCCGTCTGGTCTACCTGGGAGGGCTGACGTCCATCTTGCAAGTCTCCTGCTCTCTTCCAAAGAGAGGGATCCTGAGAATGGCCTCCGAGCCTCAAGCAACCGCCGAGCACCCGGCTGCCGCGTTGTTGCAGCGCCAGCAGCCAGTAGACGCGCGGACGACCAGTTTGCAGAACGCCACGAGGCAGCTCGCGCAGCAAGTGGGGCAGGACCTTCCTCAGCCTGCGGCGGCCCCACCGATGCGCCTGCGGCCCCACGGCAGCCTGTCGGAGAGGCTCGGAGGGGACCAGGATCAATCGCAGGCGTTCGTCGCTCAGTGGGAGATGTTTACGGCAGGCAGACCTGTGGAATTCCCCACGGATCGCACCAAAGCGACTTCCGAGGTGAGTTTGCAGGAGGAAGCGGCAGCGAGCAACGACCCGGTGCTGGACAACGATCCAGACTCCGTGCGTAAGCCCGAGAGACCCTGGGGGGATCCCATGCTGAGAATCATGGCTAGCTGAGAGATCCGGAAGCTGAGGCAGGGACAGAGGGGAGTGCGGGAGTATATTTCGGACTTTAAGCTACTGGCTGGCGACCTGGGGTGGAACGACGTAGCCCTGATTGACCACTTCACGGAAGGGCTGAACGAGGACCTGAAGTACGAGCTGCTGAGACAAGGCGCCCCAGGTAACCTGGATTGGCTATTTCAGCGTTGTGTAGTCCTCGATGCCTGGCTGGAAGAGGTGAGGCAGGAAAGGAAGGGGAAGGAGAGGAGACCCCACCGCCTGCCCTTCCCCCTGCCAGCCCTCCCGAGGGCCTCCAGTGCGGGACAGCCCCTGCGGATCGGGGCGGCCAAGAGGTCCTTGCCCCCAGGGGAGATGCACAGAAGGAGAGAACAGGGGCTGTGCTTTTACTGCGGGGCCCCGGGCACATCGCCAGATCCTGCCCGATAAAAGCGCCGGTGGCTGCCCGGCAGCGAGAGGCAGAACTTGTAGATCAGCAGGGCGCGAAGCCGGCGGATGCCCAGCTCGCCCCCAAGCAGCGCCCGGGGGAACTTCGCCGGCTCCCTCCCCGGCGCTCCGAAGGGGCCCCTCCGGCATTTGCAGAGAGCTCCGACAGCCGGCACAAGGCACGCGGGTCGCATAATAGGGCGACGCAGGCGCATTTTGTTCTCACGGCCCCCAGCCTGTTTCCCCTGGGAACTCGGGAGGGGGGATGAAGCTGAAGGGGAGGGCGAGGGAAGGCATGTGCGGGTGGCCCTGGGGGACAGGGGAAGAGATGCCGCCCGGGGAACGATCAGATAAAGAGAAAGGCGCCCGCAACTGGGCAGCGGTCACAGAAAGAAACTCAGAAAGGATCCTCCCTAACTTATCAGGCGATTTGTGCTTTCAGACTTGCAAGATTCTGTTCATGTCGCCTTACAATAAAGTAGAGCGAGCTCATCTGGTCGTGTTTCCTGTCTGGCTTACCTGGGAGGGCTGACGGGGGGGGGGGGGGACTCCAGAACCAGCCGCTAGCAGTGAAAAACCTTGCAGGTGGGACTCCTGGCTGGGTATTATGGTGGTTGCAGTACAGCATCTCTAGGGACTGCTAGGTTGTGAAACACTGAGTGGAGAATTATTATGATGGTTTAATAGGTTCGCCTGGTTCACACAACACGCTAAGACCATGCCTAAACTGCCCCCGAACTACCCAGCTGCATTTTAGGTTCCTGTGCAGAGATGGCCTTGCAAGAGAAATTCAACAGCCGTTACGTGAACACCAGCGAAGTCCTGGAATTTGGAGGAGGGCCTGAGGAAGAAACCAAGATTGCCCCGCTTTGATCTACTACCATTGCTAGTACTATACAGTATGCTATTACTTCTACTACTAAGCTATATTCTACCACTCCTGTTACTAGTGTGCTATTTCTGTTGCTCTTTTGCTACCACTGTTGCTAGTATGCAAGAGTGTTGTGCTCTGACAGACCCAAGTCTCTCTCTCTCTCTCTCTCCTTCTGGAATTTCTTCTGCATTTTCTTTCCACGGCCAGCTCGTAGACTTCTTGCACCCTTTCTGCATTGTGCCTTGTCTTGCTTGGCAGCTACAGGCCTTTTCCTCTTGTTTGGACCTCCAACACCTGCTTCACTTGGCGGCGGCTGCAAAACCACACGTCTCCTCTGTTCTCTTCATGTTTCCCCCCTTCTCCTCTCCCACCTGTTGCAAGATTACAGCTTCATTGGCACCTCTGCGGTGCTGACGCAGGGGAGAAGGCTCAAATAGGAGGGGAGGGGCCTGCAATTCTTTCTCCACAGCCTGTTCTTCCACAGTGATTTCTAGGACATATCCATGTACAGGTAGTCCTCGACTTATGACCACAATTGGGACCGGAACTTCTGTCGCTAAGCGAGACGGTTGTGAAGTGAGTCACGCCCAATTTTACAGCTTCTTTTGCTGTAGTTGTTAAGTGTATCGCTGTGGTCGTTAACTGAACCTGGCTTCCCCCATTGCTTGTCGGAAGCCCCCTGGGAAGTTCGCTGTGAGGGTTCTTTGCTTCCCAAGGACTGAACACACCACAAACATAGCAAATCTGTAGAAAATGCTTTATTGCAGCACTCATCTTCCCCAGCTACAAGCTATTGGGCTGGCTCAAGTTCACCCATCTAGGACTTGCAAGTTGCTGTTGCCATGTAAATATGTCTTTAATACTCAGTCCTTTACACTCAAATACTCCGTTCAAACAAGAGTCTCAAAGTCTATAAAATAGCGTGCAACCTTTGCCTTTTCCCAAAAGTTCTTGCACTGTTGGGACGAGGGGCTGCCTCAGGGTGTCTGTTCCTTTCCTAGTTGCTGCCAAGCTCCAGGCCAAGTTGCTTATAAATTGGTTTAATAAATAAATACTTTTAACATCCTTTTATTCTTTGCTTTATCTTTATTTTTATATTTTTAATGTATTTATTGACTGTCTTTAGCTTTGTTGTACACCGTCCAGTCGCCTGTGGTTAGATGGGTGGCTATATAAATTGGTTTAATAAATTAAAAGAGAGAGAGGTGTGGACTTCAACTCCCAGAATTCTGTTGAATTCTGTTGAAGTCCACGTATCTTAAAGTTGCTAAGGTCGAGAAATACTGCTTTATACAAACACCTCCAGCAAAGGAGAGTTTTTGTATAGCCAGGAGTCTGTTGCATTGCTCTGACCATTAAGAAATTTCTTCCTGGTACCCAGCCCCAAATCCACATCTGTATAATTTAAACCCCTCCCTTCTTGTTTTCAGGAGCCGCTGCTCAGGACTCAACTGTGGAGTCCTTGGGGTTCTCTGAGCTTGGTCGTTTTCTCGCAAACGTTTCGTTACCCAGCCAGCACTGAAGATGTTACCTAACCTCAGAGAATCTGGGCTATAGGTGGAAAGCCGAGGAAGAAAGCCCCGCCATCTGCATCCCATTTTTCTGCCCTGCGCTCAAAGAGGTCCACACACGTTTCCATGGGGAGAAGTTCTCCTGCCTCTGAATCGCAGAAACCTAAGTTTGCTCCCTAAAAGAGGGAAGGAGGGATCCAGACGCATGGCTCCCTTTGCTCAGAGATCTCTCTGTAAACTGAAGCCAGTCATTCAGTCGCTCAGGTCAGCCTACCTCACGGGGTTGTTGTAGGAATAACATGAAGGGACACAAACACACACTCCACTCCAAACTGCCTGGAATTCTCAGAGGAATGCAATAAATTAAAAAAAAAAAGTGCCCCCCCAAAGCCAAGATTAATCCAAGCAAATTCACTCATTTCAGTCTTTATTGATCCAAGCTGTCTTTCTCTTCACTTAAGCAGAGGAGCGTATGGAGGCAGAGAGGTTCTAGAGAGATAACCCCCCCCCCCCCATGTCTCTGATGGTCTTTCCCCACTGCTGAGTTAAAGTGTCCTCCATCCCTCCTTGAGTCAGAAAATGGCACGGTCCTAAAGTTGGCTGTCCCCACGGCTGACCCCCCTCCCGCCTCGGTTCCGTCTTTTCCAAGTCTCTGTCGAATGCCCCCTCCTGACTGGCATACCTGCCCCTCGTTCCAGGCCAGGCGATTGGTTTCTCTGCTGGCTTCGCTGCCCTCCTCCTTCCACTCACCATCAATCAACAGGGAGACATCCGCCGATCAGGGCACTGAAGGAGGAATGGGGAGGGTCTGTCTGCTTGGCTCCCCCCCAACTTGGGCATCTCCCAAGTTAAAACAAGGGGCAATCACGGAATGGAGGGCAAGACCCCAAAGCAGAAAGGGGGAGGTAGACCCTGCCTTGACCGTGGAAGAGCCAGGGAGGGCCAGGGAGCGGAAACTGATCGGCCACTGGCAGCCAGTCACTTATTCAAGGCGGGGGAAGGAGAAGTGAGTGAAACTGGCCAGGACAAGGAAACCGCCTGATAAGCCCAGCCAAGCATCCCTTGTTATTTTCTGCAGGGAGGAAAAGTGAGGCTGCTGCAGCTTAAGGTCAAGATAGGTGCTTAACGTGGAATGGTGCCTGTGAAACAGCGGGGCTCTGCTCTGCTCTACTCTCCCCCC